GCTATATAATTATACACTGTTTAATTCACTATACATTTGAACTATTCTTTCAATACGACGGCAGCTCAGCGTTGTATTCTAAATACTATCGGCGCAACTATCTCTGTCTGGACTGTCAAATAGGTGGTTGTATCAGCCGGTATGTGAGTCCTCTTATTATCGTGGAGAGTTTTTTCAAATTTCTGTCAAGGCATCAGACTTCATTGTCTGATGCCATTCTGATAGTACAGTTGCCACATTACCACCAACCGCAAACAAAGATGCCACAACAAAAACGATAACTGCTTTGAAGTGAACAATTTTTGATGGATTTGCCTCACTTGAATCACTCGAAAAGCCATACTCGGAGCGATTACCAAATTATGCAAGATGCGAAAGTGGAAATAAATTTTAAATTGTTTTACATCACAAAAATATAATCATTTTAACAGAACATTTTTGTTATTTTAATTCACTGCTAAAAGCATGTCAAGAACTAAACTACTCTATGTTTATGAAATTATGCAAATCTTCTTATTCAACCAACATTAAAATATATTCCATGAATAGTCTCCAGCTGTCGTTCACTCATACATTAAGTACTATATTTGCAATTCGCAAATTCTAATCTGCTTAATTGTTTATTACTGTATAATTTAATAATAACAACCAACGCAGCAGCTGCCTGAACACTGAGCCAAGCTGACTAAATGTAAAGCAAACAAGCAAGCAACAAAGGTAAAAACAACGTAAACAGAGAAGACATCCTCGAATGAGTGAGTGGGCGTGTAAATTTACTAAAACGGAGCAAATGAATTAGGCGACAATATAAACAAAAAAACTGCTGCAAGCTACAGGACAAGGTGATTAGCATTAGTCAATTCCTTTTGCTCTTCTTACCTTTTTGTTGAATGGATCTTTTGCGGTTAATGCTTTCAAATTTTTGCATCGGCTTTCACGAGTAGATATCTTAACTTGCAAGTATGAGGGTATTTTGGGAATAGCAGCCTTCCCTGCAACCGCCAAACAAAATTTTGTTCATTCGCAGTGGTTGGTTCATTGAACATAAATAAGGTTGGCGACTTTTGTGATGCTGTGCTGGTTGTTGTTGTAGACAAATGCTTCCTTTGTTCGCACCACAAACAAACGCTTGAACTTTGAATATTGACGAGGCTAGACAATGCACGCGACTAGCTGCAAAGGCGTGTGTCACTTGGTATGAACGAGTATGTGTGTATAGTGACCTAAGTACCCTGCAGAAAATCTGACTAATTCAGAACTAAAGTAGAGTAGTAGCTCAATTCCCAAGCAATGCTTTCAACTGTCCAGTTTTAGACGGCGATGTCATTGGCGCTGGCAATTGTCGCCCAGAGAGTTACTTTGCAACTAGTTTTTAACCGGTTCCGTTTTGGACAGTTTTTTTTTTTTAAGAAAACGTTTTCCGTTTTTTCATTTCTTTTACAGAAAAAAAAAAAATTATTATAATTATTGAAGTTTGAGTCGGAGGTCTTCTCGCTGAGCCACTTTCGTATTGTACGAGAAGTGAGAATTTGTACACTTACACCGCAAGTTTCAATTGTCCCGCTCTGCAGCCGTTTTGCACCAGTTCAGAGATAGTTCTGAAATATGTAGATCGGAACTAGGGCTTTGCCAGGCTTCTCTAAATTTTACTGCAGGGTATGTACATATGTATGTATGCATGTAAATGGTTTATGTATAGTCTGGCTCTTAAAAGCACGTACAACCTGTAATTCCTGTCATTTCGGCTACTCAGCACCTAGCTGATAAACTCCTAAACACCTAATAATTTACCGAGTAAGCTAAGGGGTAACTGCTTGCTGCTGCTGCTCATTGACCTTGCATTGCGGTTACTAGTCAGCAGTTGGCAATCAGCTTGAGCTCATGTACGTACATATGTACATACTATGCACGTGTGTGTATTGAGTTTCGTCTGGCAATTGACAGTTCTACTTATGCCCGCCGCCAAAAGTCACCTTACTTCGTTTTTGTACATTTTAGGCGTGAGAGGACTTTTTAAAATAAGGAATGCACAGATTGGTTGACACCACAAAGAGTCAAGTTACCAGTTAATGACTTCCTATCTGCTTTGCTGCTGTGAACTTTTGCTTTGTGTTTGCTGCTTAGTGTTGGGTCGACGACACTTACGCACACATGCATACATATAAATACAAAGGATTTAGCTGTTACAAAACTTTTGTTGTTCGGCAGCTGGATGCTGCTCATTGTTCCCGCAACTCTTGAAGTTACTGAATGTCGATTTACTTTTAAGATTCCTTTGTCTTTTGGTATAACTTAAAACTTAGATGTTAAATGCAGTGGTGCATTAATATCAAGGATTTATGTAGATATATTTATAACGCATACTTTAGTGTTATATATCAAAGTTCACAACTTTAAGTGCAGAAGTAGATTTTCGGGTGTGTTTTGTTTAAGTTTTCATATTTATTGTAGCTTATACTCGTAGATATGACTTCAGTATTGGATATAAGAAATATTCAGAGAGAATTAAATCGGTTGAATATGCTGGATGTGGTAATACATAGGTCGTAGTCAAAGTTATGAATCTTTTGTCATGAAGCAATGTCGAGCCCATCCAATAGCTCTGAATAGAATTCATTTGCAATCGATTTTACCGTTTTCATCGAAATCGATGCAAATGACTTTGGATGTATGTATGTGTGCTATTCCCTTGTTGGCCAAGAGACCTTGTTTTGGTGCATGTTCGCAGGGAGCAATCCACTGCTTTAACTTTTCCTTGGTCCTTGGTCCATGTCTCGTGTACGGTTACAAAATGACGAAAAAACCGGTGGGTCCCGTTGTCTATCACTAAATAGAATTCACATGGCTTTAAAAAAAAAAATTTAATAATATACTTGAATATATTTTTCTCGAATATTACACAAATAATCATTCAAGAAGCTATTCCCTTATTTATGTATGTTCATACATAAATATATATTAAAATTAGTATATCGCCTATGCATACATATCATTGCAATACTTTGTCCCATAGTCTTTTTCTTGTTCAATATTTAAATAATAGTTCATTCAAAATAACATTTCTTATGCCGAATTTCCACTAGGCATTGGAATTACAAAAAATGTATGCCATTTAAAAAAATGCCAAGTGGAAATGAACTTAATGACTCATTTTTCAATGTAATGACACGATTATTTTTTAATGCCCGACTTAATCATTTGTCACTTTTGCAATTTAATTCCTAGTGGAAACCTAGCATTAGTTGTACTCATAGTGGTAGCTGACTATAAAGTTGTTGTATTGAATACAATTATTAACAAATTGTAACAGTAACCGTAGATTTTTAATGATAAAAGTATTTTTGTAAAAAGAAAAAAGAAGTAAAAGAACCCGAATCGTAACAATACTGACAGTAACGACATTTTAGCATTCTATGGCTATTTGCCTTTCGTCTATTTAATGTTTTTTTTTTTATTTTTTTACGAAAGTGTAACTCGTTATCTAACAAAAACCATGTTAGTAAAAATTTCAAACTTTTTCTTGAAACATTCTGAGTATGCGGTTTGCAGCCCATTCATTTTTATTTTAATATAGTGCAAATTTTAAGTATCTAGGACTTACTATTGATTTTTGGAAAATTTTTAGTGGAAGATGTTGCGGATTTTCTCCATACAAAAAAGTTTTCGTACATACTTTGGAAAAAAATGCGTGAACAAAAAATTGTCAAAAGTCAACACTTACCTTGCACTTTATTATAATAAAATTTAAAAAACTGCGTACTCAAAAAAATTCTAAAAACAGTTTCAAATTTTGATGAACATTTGTTAAAATTGTGAAAAAGTAAAAAGAATCGGCCAAAAACGGCAGTGTCACACGATTGGTACATTTGTACAGATTTTTACATTTTTTATATTGGGCTATTGGTACAAAAAAAAAATTGGAACGAATTTTTGTTTTTGTAGTTCCCTAGTAGGGCATTCAATCCCGAAAAGGCGGGGTGCCGCAAACGCTGAGCCATTTTTGCGGGATCAGAAATGAGGGATTATACATGCGGGATCCGCGGGATTTGCGGGCTCGCCAAAATGTTCGTCGTGCATAGCTTTATTAAATATACATCATTTTATAACCCAGTAGATAATTTCAGGAGTTAGAAGCCCCTCCGAAAGGCCTTCCGGAGAGTCAAAAGGCCTTCCAATCTACATTTCTTTTTCCTTTTTTTTTTGTATGAGCTGTCATGAATTGAAGGGCCGCTTCTTTTGCTACCCATAGAAGGCCTTCCAGAAGGGCTTTTATAGGACGTACTTCAGAAGGCCTTTTGGTGGAGTTCATTGAGTTTCTCAATGAGTTTTGAGGTTAGAAGCAAATCCTGACATGATGGAGCAAAGCGGACTTCAGAATCGTGTTCAGCGACACCTGGTCTGGTTTTATTAACCTTTCATTGGTTTTTTTTGTGGTCCTGCGTATTTGATTAAAATTTGAAAACGTTCGCCTTGATAACTAGCTTAAACTTTGTACACTTACCGATTTATGAACACATTATACAAGTGTCCGTTTCTATCGATAAATAAGTGTGCCAGCGGAAAAATTTATTTATTTTTCTTGAGGTTCCTTCCAGATGCTAATTTTCGAATACTCATAACTCTGGTTCTGTTAGAGGCACACATTCAGCTATAGTGCAATTTTTAAGAGTGTGTTATATAGAATATATTACTTTAACGCCATTTTCATATATCAAACGGTAAAAAGTTACGTAATCCGTAATCACTGATGCTTTAGCTAGCTTTGGGATTTCAGCGAGCGGGTGTTGTGTCAGATCGAATAAAACACTACAACAACCCTTCTTATGATGTATATTCTTCTGAAAAATACCCAACAAATAGAGCGATTAGCGACTTTACGATTAGTAAAAACACTATATGTACATATTGATTGTATTTATATAGGAGAAAGCTTAATTTTCCATTTATTACCCTCCTTTCTTAATCTCCATAGACTTCATATCAAAACTGGAGCCAGTGAAATGCATTTTTGGATCGATAAGCGCTCACAACAATGTGGCTTTGGAAGATCACGTGTTGCGGCCTCACTCTCAGGTGCTGGAGGGTCTGGTCTCAGTTTTGGACATCCACCACGACGCATAAGCAGCGGCAGTGGCAGTAAATCGAGCAGTAGAAGCGCACTGCCAGACTGCCATCACAGCAATGTGGCTGGCAGCAGCGGCAGCCGTAGTCACCAATATCAACATCCACATCAGCATCAACAGCTACAACAACAACAACATCAACAACATCAACTGCAGCAAGCAAGTAATAACAATAATTTCAATGGTGGCAACAATTGCCAGCAATCACATACGCACAGTAGCAACAATAGCAATTATACTCAAAGTAACAGCAACACCGCCAATATCACCGCCAACGCTGCCAACACTGGCGCTTCTATACAATCCACCACCGCCTCGGTGACGCTCAACAACAATCCCCACCAGTATGGTTACCAGCAGACGCAACATCATACCAGCGGTAGCGGCTCAATGCTGAGCCACCACATGCCTGCTAATAGCAATATAACGAACAACAACAATGCCACCACATCTACGTCCACGGCTACAGCAGGCGATGCGCGCGGTGTCACGCCCGGGGCGCAAAATTTTAATCAACGTGGCGCTGCATTGTTGCAAAACACTGTTGGCACACCAAATACGCCGCTCTATCAGCAGCACACAAATCAATGCTACGATATGCGCAGCTATCATCATCCCCAGTTTGGCAATATGTCGGTGCGACATTATCAATATCCTGGCAGAAATTGCAATGGTCCAACACATACCAATGCTGCAAATTCCGCGGCACATGCATATCGCGGCGGCGGTAACAGCAGCACAAGAACAATTGTTGGCGTTACAACTGCAGCGTCTTCAATGTCCACTATGCAACATCTCGATCAAATGCCATATCGACAACAACATGCCTTCAGGTACTTGTGCAGCAGACATACATGCCACGTTTGATTTATTTAATTATTCACTTTCATTGCAGCCACTGCACCACTGGCCCTGCTCAGTCGAATGAGTCGATCATGGGCGGCTCTGCACCCATTTCCACCAACACCACAAACACCGCTAGCTACGCAGTGGCTAACACAGCGCATCGCTATAGCTCCGCCGCCATAAATATGCGCGCCAGCAATATGACTGTGGATACGGGTGGCGGTGACGCCCAACTGCTGCCCTCACATCTGAAGTGCGGCATGTGCGCTTCGTTGGTGCTGGCTTCCGTATTTGTAGCAGGCGCTAAATTTTATTTTGACCATCAGGGCACCGGCTTGGAGGTGTTGATCTTCTGCGCTTTCTCCGCCACATTCTTTTTAGCCGCTTGCACTGTTTCACTCTGCCGCGTACCGAAAGGCCTACTTCCGAGTGGTCGCAATGCTGTGCTCGGCGCGCAACAGCGCACTGATGCTGATAGTGGTATGCATTGTACGCGTGCTCCCTACGGTAGACGTGACATCATGAACAGTGATGGAACTGGTGGCGGTGATTTGGGGGGTTTGGATGACATACATGGCGCACCGTTATGCGGTCAATTGCAATTGATTGAGGACTCGGCAAGTGCTGGACCACCACCATATCATATAGCAATCTACTTTCCGGAGACAGAGAACAGTGGCAAGGGAAAAGAGGCACCGATCGATGATGAATCACCGCCGCCGTCCTATGATAAGATACTTATCTAAATTTAAAGAGTGATGTATAGAAGAGAGATGATTTTTACTATGGCGAAAGCCTATTAATAATCTGATGTCAATGATATGACAGAAATCAATCAATCTTCATTATCTTATATGTACATACATACATATGTATGTAGAAGTTATATCTTCCCATGACACATGTCTTCCTTTTACGAGTTTATAGGATTAAACTTTAGTAATCATATTTTTATATTTTTTTGAATACATTCATTCATATACATATGTATATACATATATGCAACGTTTCATTGCCTGTTTTAAAAGCAGTAATGTACGCTGGACTTGGATTTCGTCACGGTTTTTGAGTGTGACATTACATGATGCCACGACTATGAAGAAGTTTTGATAAAACTTTACCATAAGGTTGGTCTAATACTCTAAGATGATTCATTTGAAAACATTCTTGAGTTTGTCTCATAAATAATCCGTGTTCTTCGTTCGTAGAGAAACCGCCAAAACAAAGTAGAAAAGCCTTTAAGGCAAAGATACAGTATTATTTTTCATTGCATTAGATTTTTGAGTAGATTAAAAAAAATCGACTACAACGCCCAAAAAAATGCGTTTTCTAATAGCGACCACAGCAGGGCAGGAATGGCAATTCTACGAGTATTTTTCTGCCATGAAATGACTTCTCATAAAAACCATCTGCCGTTCGGAGCTGGCGTAAAACTATGGACCCCGCGATTTATGTGATATCTTCAAGACACGCTCCACAAATTGGAGGCCAAGCTCGGCCAAACATACAACAAAAATATCTGAGTGAAAAATGAACAAAGCGCAATACGCAATACGTGTGCAGAAAACAGCACTCATACTATTTGCCGTTCATTGCACTGCTTTCGTGTGCCTTTCGTGTCTGCTGTAAATCTGTGTGATTTACGAATAAACTTAAGCAGATTGCTGGGTGTCAAAGAGCTCAGCTGTCCGTCTCGCAACACATCGCGGCCGAATGTCTCATACCTCAATTCTGCAAGGCGGGGCAGAAGCACAAAAGGTCTTCAAGGCAGGATGGGCAAATGTAGTTCTAATGTATTGTCAGCAGTCCGAACAATTGTCTCCAATCCCGTCTACTCAGTGAGATCAAGTAATTAAATAGACCTCCTGAGATTGAAGGCAACATGCATTTGGCACATCTCCAGCCCGCCAATGCCTCCCAGTAATCGCTGAGCGAAGTATTCAACCAGCTTCCGATACTGGCTTCGATGCAATCACTGGTTGTAGACGGCGGAATGAATGGTCTGAGCTAATTCTGGTCAAATGATCAGATATTCCATTGCCAGGTACTCCCGAGTAACCTGGCACCCAGAGTAAAGCATACTCGTTATGTTTACCAACCAGCCTTCGTTCCAACCGTATTGCATTGATAACTCATAGCAATTTTATTTGCTATGGCTAACAATATAGTCGGACATGCAAACTTTATCTGAGATAAGGCTGGACATTTCCAGTCGATTTTTTGGATCACTGAATTCGCATCTGAACTCAGAATTGCTCTATCATAGGTTTTTCAAATATCCTAACCTAGTTAGTTAGTTAGTTAGTTAGTTCATTTTCTGGGCGTAAAAGAGATTTTGTGTCTCTTTAAAGGATTTCCTAATCCAATGTGACCAAGATACCTTCGGCTTCCCTAATGAATCCTAAAAGGGCCTTGGTAGACGAATTCCTAATAACAAAGGGTTCGACCATCGAAGATTTAAAATAAATCAATCTTTGTCTGGCTGAGGGCGGACAGGGACAGAAAACATTCTCCGAAATTTCATCAGCCTCGAGGCAGAGGCGGCATTCCTAACCTGCAGCTGAGAAATTTTATTTAGAAATTTTCAAATATTTTTCGAAAGGCTCTAAGAAAGGGACAATGGTGAAACTACCTTAATTCGAAATCCTCGTTAAAATAAAGAACTTTCGAGCATGTGATAGAGAAAGATATATCCTCGAAAAAAACCCAATATGACAGAGTAGTTCTGACTTGAGACTCGAATTCAGCGACTTAATCTCTGTTAGAAATGGCTAGCCCTATCTCAGAAAAAATCAAAGGTTGAAAATTTGTTGAGTAGTGTTACCAAATAAAATTTTGTGGACATTTGGCACTTTTTATATTCAACCGGCTGTCTTCACATGCTTGAAAATCTAGCTTGCGTTCTGCTCTTTTTTCTCGCAAGCGAGATAGAATTTTTTATGATTTTTGTGTCATGGAATTTTGTGGCCAGGGCATTTGGTAGCATACTTTTTCATTTGTAAAATGTCGTCAAATAAGAAGGTTCGAGCTTTTCAGGCCAAATTTGTATATTCTACCAAAATAAACGATGTTTCTACTCTGTAGAATTCTGCGAAATGAGCAAATACCTGCCAGATAACAAAAATTATAGTTGAAAGCATGCGAGGAGAACTCGCAAACCGCTCGGTATGCGAGAAAAAGTATGATTCGTGCTTTTTGCGGTCTACATGTGCGGGATCTCGCATGCGTCATCACGCAAGCGCGATTTTCTAGCACGTGAAGATGGCCGGTAACGCAATAGCTCTCTAGGAATAGTATTTTAAAAGTGGAATAGTATTTTAAAAACAAATCATTCACGCCTTTAGTTGGTGGATCAATGGATTTGAATTATAAAATGTTTAATGGAAGCTGAGAATTAATTTGTTTAATATCGAAAATTGCTATAGGCAGATAAAGTATATCTAAGTCTTGTTTTTTTTTTTTTTAATTTTGATAGAAGTGAACAAAGCTCGATAACTTTGATTCAAAGCACATCTCTCTCTCTCTACTAACTCTCTAAAATCTCTGTATGTATGTATGAACGTACGCTCAATATTTTTTATACACACTTTTTTATTCAAACTAAACTTCTACACAATAATAGTAATCAACAAATAATATTAAGATATAATCATGTTGTACACATAGTTGATAAGTTGCTAATTGCACTTTAACTAAAAAAAAAATATACTAATAAATTTATAAACTATTTATAAACTATCAATGTTAGTTGGTATGCTTGTAAAAATAAAATGTACGTGCATATAATAAGAATATAGCTTTAAGCTTAAATTATATCGAAAAAGTGTAGTTAAGGTAATGCAAAACATCACAGAAATGCGTACTTTATCAATTACGATATACATAGATGTGTATGTAGATACATACATATTTACATAAAGTAATACATACATAGATACATAGTATGCATAAGCAAAAATAAAAATGCCAAAAACGCAATAAACCCAAATCATTATCCACATGTAATTACTAAATACATACATACAAATTTGCCAAAAACGAGAAAATTTCTTCTACTAATTTTTAAGAAACAAAAATGTGTAAGCATAGCTTTAAGCGAGATATTGGAAACAAAACAGACAATTATACAATACATATGCATTATAAATGAATACTGCGATTGGTAATTTTCTATAGTTTGACCAAAACCTGTCATTTGGTTCTGTGATACGATATTTACGAGTAAAAAAGCCATAACCTTTCTAATTACACACAATTAAATAAGAATATATGTATCGCACTACACTTTTGTAGACAAGCTCCAAAATAAATATAAATATTGGATAAATGTGTATATATAAACATACATACATATGTATGTACTTACATATGTAGATCATAATGACATACTTCAGGATATGTTTAAATACAGTCTTCAGATCTAAGTTGAAGCATACAAATAAGCAGATCAGCGCACAGTGAGATAACGTATGCACATACATATGTACATAGTTACATACAAACATACATATTTTATCTATAAGTAAAACATATGTACATAGTTTATAAGTTATGTATATGGTTTGGAGAATGCGTAAGAAGTTTTCAGGAAAAGTTATTGAAATACATCCGTATGATCAGGCGATCAGGCGTATGCATGCATACACTTATTATATGTTCTCACGCACATACATACATAGATATTTATTTATTTATATATATATATATATATGTTTGTATGTTGGTAAGAAACTATTTTAGAAGTGTATTATTAAACAACAGCAAAAGTGGTAAATAATCGAATATCTAAAAATTCAGTAATAAAACTAAATTACAATATGAAAAATACTTTTTACACGATTAAATACATATGTACATATGTAGCATATTCCCAACACAAGGTAGGTAAAAGGTTTTAGTTCCAAACTTATGTGGTATCTTGGCTGGTTTGATGTAAAAATTTATTTATAGCAAATTCTTTATTTAGAAAAAGAACGATCCTTAATTTTTCTATAACTAATAAAGATTTAATTCAGCTGGAAACTTATGTACATAAATAGATGCATAGAATCAAATTAGGTATTTCTGTGGTGACTATATCCCTAAGGTCGATTACTAATCAAGATACTTAGGGTATTTTAATGATTAGCGCAAAATAAGCATAGGCTTATATTTAATACCTTATATGTATATACATATTTGCTATTTTCACAAAAAAAAGTAACTTCTGATAAAAATCTATCTGAGCCGTAAATGTCATCGATCATGTTAAATCTAATCTTATATTTCCTGTTCAGCAGGACTGTATAAAAATTGGAGTGCAAAGTTAGAATTAATATCAGGGATGGCAGTCCGAGATAGGCTCTATTATCAGATAAAGAATATTGAATATAAGTCCTCGATATGTATAAACATACATACGTATGTACATATGTACATAGAGCATGTAAATATTCTTAGATGTACATACATATATGACAGGTCAACAAAAAAAGTCAACTATAGCAGTGATACACGATCTGTCATTTTTGGCAATGATCGTCTAAAATAAATATCCTTACAAAATTAAGCAGCTGCAAAGCTACATACACACATAAATGCGAGACGGAAGTCAGAAGCAGCAATAAGCACCGTAGTTCCAATTATTCAGAATGCCGACGTATGTTAGCTTTCAGCCATCTGATAGCAGAAATGCTCAACAGAAACCAGCTTAAACAAAGCTGCGGAAAAATAACCATATGATTATTGTAAATTTATGTACATACATAGGTATTGTCTTAATAAAAATATTTTAAGCGCTTTGGAATTATGTCTTATTTGTATGTACATATTTATATTCCTTGCATAATGTGCTTAAATGAATTCAACAATACAAACAGCTGCCACAACGCGCTTAGTGCAATGTACTGGTAAATAAACACCGACCGGGTTATTGACTTTTAATTGATAATTTTCAAGAACAATGGACTACATATGCACAATATCGTGTACAGATTCTTAAACAAGTAAATTTTAATACAAGATATATGTATGTGCGTTCTCACGACATTCGAGTCCACGTAGCTGGAACGACCCAGATTCATATCTGGCCAAGTACCTACTGCCACTTCAGCAAACTCTTTGGCGAATGTATTCTGCTACAACAATAACAACAACATATGTATATGTACATAAATTGTGTATAAAAAATAATACTAAATTAATATTTACAAGTAACTTTTGCAACCGCCCACATAAAAAAGAACGTTGACGTTTTCCAACACAACAATGCCACTACCGGAAATTGGTTCGGGACTCGGTTTTGGAATCAAAGCCGGAAATAGGTTCGGCATTCGGATTTGAAACGCAACGACAACCCTGTTTACACTAGCTTGCGGAAACCCTGTAAACCCAATAGTCTCCACTTTTTCTTCCATTTGTATACAGCGTTGCCGTTTTGATACAATTGTATAATTTTTGATACTTTTTTTCTAAATTTTAAGATTTCATACATTGAAACTTTTTTGTTCACAAGTGCCCCATTTTGTTACTAATACATTTTTGTTAATACATTAAATGTACGTCTATACCTGTGCTCTGGCGCTCGCATACGAATCGTCGGTTTTCTCGCATGCGAAATTTTATCATTGTACGGTTTTTATAAATGCTGCAAAAATTGTATTTTTTTGGGGAACAGCGTTCCCCTGAATAACACCACTTCTTTCCTACTCGGAATCAAAGCAAATATGAAAAAGTAGTGGCTAAGAACCATAGATAGTTATGCGTTATATGGTATCGTACAAGAATGATAGAATACAAGATTGCGCCGATCGCAGCAGAATTCGTGAGAGTAATTTTGGCGTGACGTCACTGTAGAGTTGACAACTGAGAGCGGCGAGAATGAGGCGACTAGTGATGTGCTGAATTGTCCCCAATACTCGGTACCCAATACTTAAAAAAGATTTCGGTACCCTATACTTCCTTTTCGGTATCCGATACCGATTATTTACATTAAACCCTCGCCATTATATGCATTTCAGGTTTAGAAAAAACTTTCATTACTAATTTATATGATATCGGCTAAAACACTTGAACTTATCGCCACAGAAACATATTATTTTATCAGTTTTAACCTTAGTCGATCCAAGGTTCAAGAAAAATACTTTGACGGATGAAGAAGCCTTTCAGGGGAGAGATTCTGTAGCCAGTTAGCGACAAGTTTCGGATCGATATCGCACTTGTTGACTTACAAATATTTGATATCAAACGTCGACAAAACCGATACCTATTCGAAAATTGTCGTTAACTGGTTACAGAATCTGTCCCAGGCCTACAAAAATGATATCGTCCGATTCAGCTGGAACAAAAATGCTTCAAACAAGTAAGGGTTTCTCTGTATTATGGCATCGAACCGACATATATACATCTTTCAATTGAATCAGTAAAAAAGCTCTATTGGCTCTTACATTCGGGTTTTGTTAGGCGTTTTTTTCCATATTTTTGGCCCATGTGCGCTTTTATTCGAAACCTAAATGTTTCGGTACCGAGTATCGAGAGTATGGGTACTTAAAAGTATTGACTCAGCACATCACTACTGCTGTCTTGTCTACTATGACGTCACCAAAACAGCTGATTCTGTCAAAATCACTGAGAGCCGAGTAGCGGTATCGTCATCGGCGCCACCTCTGTATTCTCTCCACCGTGGGTATCGTATACCTTCTGTGATGAACGGTCTACACCTGCGATATTTCTCTTACAATGTTTCGCATGTGAGCGCCCATAGCAGTTATAGGCGTGCACTTAAAGAGTCCGAACACTACGCACTTTTCAGTCAGCCTCTCCAATCGTCTTCTAACCTTGTCCATTACCGCAGAACTCCACAAGGAAACACCGATGGCCTACCAAATTTCCGATACTCTTAAAGATTTCGGGAGCATGTGTTTGCAGGGTATATATGTATATACGTATATGTGCATGTATACGCGGATATGTAAACAAAGCAAAACACGATAATTTGATACAAGCGTGCTCATAAGAAGAAGCATAGCTTCTATCCCTCAATAAATTCGTAAATGCAACCTTTTGTAAGGGAGTGTCAAACCGCGGCTGTCAATAATTATCTCACCTTTTATTATTGAATCATGTTCTATCCTATCACCTGTAATTGATGATGCATTATGTGCAACAAGAGACGTGTACAAGCAGTGTTGCCAGAACTTTTTGGGCCGACCGGCTAGATTGGCAAAAAAAGCGGCTAAAAACGGCTAAAATGTTTTAGTGAAATTTCACATAGACTCTGGCAAAAAACGGCTAAAATGTTTTAGTGAAAATTCACATGCTTTATTTAAATAAATCGCAAGAAACGAAAGACTAGTTAACACCATTAATTTATATCGAGTGTATATTCCTCATCATCAAATGAATCACTATTGTATATATCACCGGAATTCATTAATTTTAAGAATGCACATTGGATTTCTTTGCTTAGTTTTTATTATATTCATTGAACTAAATATTCGCTCTACTTCTGCATTACTTATAGGCAAAACAAGAAAACTAAAAAATAGGTTGGAAAGGTCAGCAAAAGGGTTTTCTCCTAGGGCATTTCGAAATTGATAAACTTCGGCCCAAAATTTTACAGTTGAGTCTAAATTACTCCAGGTATGTAACGTTAACCGTTGCCATTGCATCTCTATGGATGTTATTTCGTCGGCATTATATTTGTGTTTTTGTTGCTGTAGTTGAACAAATACTTTTGGTTTAATTACTCTTAATGCATTTCCAACCGAAAAAAGTCAATTTTTTTTTAGTGTGGCAATATTTGTAGGAAGGCGTTGGCGTAATTCCTTTATTAAAGTGATAATAAAATACCGACCATTTTCTCGAATTATTTTCTCGGCTTCGTGGTCAAAAGCGTTTGTGCTTACTTTTGTTTTTAAATACTCTTCAAAACTGTGATAAAACTGAGGAAATGGAGCAAGGTATGGTTCCAACGGGGAGCATATAGGATCAAATGTGTCCACGCTAATAACCACTAGGGAGCATAGATGCGAAAGTAAAACATTGAGTTCATTAAAAATCTTCATTGGGTCTGCATTATTGCTTTCGAACAACTTGTTTACTTTTTGCACCTGAAAATTAGGCAAATAGTAAAATCGGCTAAAAAAGGCTAACTTTTTTTTACAAACCGGCTAACAAATCGGCTGCCGGCTAGATCGAATTTTCTCCGGCTAGTTGCTATCAAAACCGGCTGAATCTAGCCGGAAAACGGCTAAAATGGCAACGCTGTGTACAAGTGCAAAAACGCATAGTTGCATTTAAAATTTTATAACACCACATCGAATAGTAAGGTCGCCAAATATTCTAACTAAATTCACGCCCGTTGATATGTAGCGGCCTAAATCTACATATTTTTTAAAAGATACCCTTTTTGTCCAAACAATTCATCAGTTTCACTTAAATATATGTACATAAATTTTGACAAGACACTTGCTTGCACCAGCCCGCAACGCAACGACAACCCTGTTTGCACTAGCTTGTGGAAACACTGTAAACCGAAAAGTCTCCACTTTTGCTTCCATTTGCATACTCGTCATCAGCATTTGCTTTCAGTGAAAATTTGTTCGTTCATTTCATTTTACACTTGCCAGTCGAGACGAAGGGTTTGGTTTCTTTGGGAATTGGTCATTTTATTCGACGGGAACGTGATATATTTCAAGTTAGCAACTAAATAATCACAAACAGATAAAAAACATGAAGCTCTTAATCTGTGCGCTACTTTCGGTGGCCGTTGCTGCAACGGGTGCTTTTGCCGAAGAAGAAGTGAAAGTCGAAGATGGAGTACTTGTGCTGACCAACAGTAATTTCCAGGAAGTTATAAAGAAACACCCATTCCTGTTGGTGGAGTTCTGTAAGTAGAAAATTTGACTCTTGTGATAACTTAGTGAAATATGAAATAAGAAAATATGTAGTAAACGAAACAGGTTTTATAATATCGCGACATTTTATTTGATAAGTGAACAATCTTTTGAAAGCCATCTGGCGAACTTAATTATTAGAAAAGGTGGGGTAACAAGTCAAATTGAGACAAAGGATTTGTTCGACTGCATAATGTGGAAAGCATCGCCACATCGGTTGTACCAGAGGGAAGTGCAACAAGAAGTGCCTACATGTACATATATGCATTAATCTGTACATATATGTATACAAATTTGTATGTGCATACTTATACATATCTTTGATGCTTGTGAAGTGTATGCGTGTCTAGTTTTTCCCATTGGCCATTTTATCTCTGTACGGTTTTTGCCTTTATGGATTAATTTCTTCTTTACTTATTGCCTAATTCTTTGCCGCCTTGTTCATTCCATTTGTATTCTTCATGGAAATTACATTTCCGTGCTCCAACATTTCCGAAGCATATGGAGATCTTTGTTGCTTCTCTTTCTCACTTTCTACCGGCTAACCGGAGATTTCGTCTCCGCTGCCAATTTACTGACTCTCCAAAGCCAGAATACACGCATACACGTACGTGATTGGGTATGGAAGAATAAATAAAATTTCTTGTGACGTGTCCATTCTATACCAAGACGATATTATTCATCATCCAAACTTGGATTAACCTTTGTGTTATGTACGGAAATGTTTGTTTATCAGGAAATAATGATGTGAAGAAAATGTACGCAGATATATTTGTATCTGATAATATTGAATTGTAGCTTTCAAACCTTTAACCCATCAAAATGGCTGTCCACTATTTGGGAATCGGCATATTTGTTTATTGTTGTAGTGGCTACGACATTTGCGAATTCCATATGTTGTTGTTGTTGTTGTAGGAGCATACAAGTTCCCCAAAGAGTTTTTGGGGAGTGTTACTAGAGTGACAGTCGTTGGCCAAATATAAATCTGGGTCGTTCCGGTTACGTACACGACTGACGTGGGAACGTGCGAATGTCGTATGTTGTTGAGAAACGTTACCAGTTTGCAAAAAAAGGCATAATCGCAAAAATTACACAATTAGAAAAAACTTGTTTCTATTTGGAGATTTTAGTAAATCATACGAAAATTACGCCAAACGACAATAACGGTGATTCCGAAAGTCTATTGTTTTCATAGTTGCCTGGACGCCTACTTTACACTATGATTTGCAACAAATAAGAACGTGCCAGACGTGGCAATCTGCCTTATCCTGAGTTTCGCCCGAAAAAAAGTGCACCCGAAAATTTTTATTCCGCCCATAGTAAATACTTGGAAGCCAATATTTCCAATTTTTCACCGCAATTCGCTGTCAAATTGAGAAAGGGAAATTTTATTTTGATGTGTGCCAGAAACACCTTTCTGCCACATTTCGGAAATCAGTTTCAGAAATAAGAGTTGCAAAAAGTGACTGCAATTGAGAGAACGTAAATCGATTTCGGAAATATATTTCAACTTGCTCGTGCTGCACTAGCACTCTGCAATTCGTCTTCAGAAATAAGAAAAAAAACCTCTTTCGAAGGACACTTTACATGCAAGGTGTGGCTGCTCATGCAACTGCTTGCTAAAATTTCTCAATTTGAAAGCCTTCGAAATATATTGCATGGCCACGTTTGATAGGCTCTATAGATATCTATGTATGTTAATATGTATTCTCAATTGTATTGTCCTTTGCAAACTGAAGGTGAGAATTCTAATCATTTTCATATCTTTCTCTAGCCCAAATGTTTGTTGGGTATTTGGTCGGGTTGAGCTTTAGATGCGCACACTGACCCAACCAAGTAGTCGTCTTAGTGGTAGGTACGTACACTGCAGACTAAATAGAGGAGCTCACACTCAAATCATGCAGTGATATTTTAAAAATACTTGCAAGGCTTTTTCATTATGGATTTTTTTTTCGTTATGTTCTTTATAACAGAGTTTGTCTAGTATAATAAAGTACAAGTAGGTAGCCAAAAAAAAGGTCTAAACGCCATCTGCATACAATTAGTATGTAACAGGTGTTGTAGCATTCAGTCAGATGTCATTTCCGTACACACTTCTTTAATATATCTTGTTAATTTTCTGGAAAACTATTTTAATATTCAATCACTTGAAACCCATTTGTACGTAGTTTAATACATACAGTCGGCTTGAATTAACTTAACCAATTTTGATTCAAAAGACTACAATGTTTATTCGCGTGAGTAGGCGGCTTAAGGTTTTTAGAAAATTAGCCAGTAAATTACTAATTAACTAAGTTCCGTATGTATTTTAGATAACACCTAATATTTTGCCTGCTTTTGCGAATGAAAAAAAAAAAAAACAGCAGAATTATAGAAAATATGATAAATTAAAATGAAAGCATGTGTTAAATGTGAAAGATGTAATTTTCATTGAATATTCTCATCAAGTCTAATTAAAAAAATTCATCACAATTTAGGTAATAAATTGAATGGTTATTTATATTTGTAATAATGTCAATTTCCTAACTTCGGCTGCTATTCCCTACATATGCATGTGCATATGTAGGTATAACAAAAAAATTATGTTGATGCAAGCTAATTTTCGCATTTGGCTTTGCACAATGTACACCATGTATTAACGACCAATCAGAGCTTGACACTGCAGCCATTCTCTGTGTTGTCACACCTAAAGCATAGCTCCTCTAAATTCTGAATTTTTCTAAACATCCGCTTATTAACCGTGTCTTCTTATAGAGCAAACATCTTAAATAAAAACACTATTTAGACAAATAAATACATACATATATGTACAAGCGTATGTATAAGTATTTAGCTGGCTAGTTAAATTCCTTATATGCTGTTAAAAAGTAGCCATAACCGCCATAAAGATGACGTGTATTTGCATCTAGTGTAGTGTCTATATCATAACTAACTTTTTTAACTAAATTTGAAACAATATACGTTTGCAAATACATATTAGCAATCATGGGGCTATATAAATTAACTAAAATTATAATAAGTACTATGTTTTTATTTGAATAAGCTCTTATGTACTTGACGCGTCACGTATGTATTTTCACTTGTTGAAATTTTTCATTATCACTTAATAATCATAATTGCGTAGCTACTTCGAGCTATGTGCTAACTTAATGAATAAGAAGTATCTGTAGCGCACCAACGTGGCAATACATAATAAATTTTTATTTAAGGAACACGGTGTTCTTACCATGGACGACAACTTTTCTCTTAGCATAGAATGCATCATTTCTTCTTTCTTTCCTATCTGCAATTGTACTTATCAGTGAAATGTTGACATTGTGGCCCCTTATGAGAAATGGCATCTTTATTTGCCTATCAGTAAAATAAAAACAAATAATCACATATTTATATACATACCTACATCGTAAAATACAATACTCTTATTATCTCATCGGAAGCTATCGATAGCTTAGAGTGAAAAGTTGATAAGTCCACTTTTAATGAAAACTCGTATTTTAATATAAGAAGCAAGTGGAATTAAAAAATTTATCATTTCGAAAATAATTACGGTACTTGTTTTTTTCTCGTTTATATTCAATGAAAGGCAAATTTGCTAAGGCCGAAAGAGAAGCCATTCGAGCTGGAAAATTTTTAAAACTGGACTTAGCAACGTTTCACTCTAAGCTAGTTAGTGAAAATACATACATACATATTAGTATCGGGTATACAGTTATAATATGTACTTAATTTGGTACTTCGTAAAAAATCAAAAACCTGATTAAAACCTACATATACATAAATTGGCATGTGAGCAGCATACTTATAACAAAAAAAAACACAATTAGGTTATGTTTCGATTACCTCTACTTACAATACCTTACTGCTATAAAGCCTATTGCTTTAATGTATACATTAAATGACTAACACAGACTTGCAAAATCTGAGATTATGTATGCAACGCTTTTTTTCTTCAACACTACAACTTCTCTGTCGGTCGTTTGGAGAGTGAGTAAACCTAGCTTACGCATAATAGTTTCCAAGTTTATTGACCTGTACTGGCCATCGTTGTGTAAGCAGAGATAAATAAAAATTTAAGACTATTTGTGGTTGTGTTTCCAGTTATTTCAATATTTGAAGATAAAAAAAAAAAAATTATTTAGCCGATTCTTTTCTTCACTCATCTACCTCTCAATATGATATTGATAGTGATTGTAATGATATGTTGTTAACACGTAAGTATGAAATCATCTACCCACGCGAAAAATAATTAGGCTATAAAGAGATGGTGTGTGCTAAAATTATCCTCGTCATGACGCCAGTAGTCCTTAATTCAAGCATACGCGAACATAACACGTATGTGCATAATATATATGTATTTATATCTACATACATATCGTATGCTATGCATATCACACGTGTTATTGGCATTGTTTTATTTATAGTTGATATTTAAATATTTCTGGCCTCATTATTTTTATTGCTCTTTAATGTACATACATAATATGTATTACATACATATGTACAGATGGCTGTGAAATTATTACTTCATCGCCAGCTCCAGTTGATAACTTTTCATTGAGTTTATTTGCACAAGAACGTAATTGATATAAATTAAAATATACTATCCTGTAAATAAATTTGTGTTCGTATGGAATAGTAGCATATGTCGGCAAGCTGGCTTTAGTATAATGCGGTATTCCCTTGATTCTTTAAACGACAGGGAATCTTGACGAGACGTAATAAAAATATTGATTTGCTAGTACGGAACTATTTCTTGCAAGTTTATTTTCCAACAGTTCTTCAGCGGCTCGGCGCCAGTGAGTCATTCACAATCGTATGCTGCGAATGCCTTATTATACTCCTATTCCATACGAACACAGAAATGCAATTTTAATTTTTACTTTTAAACCGACTTAAAAAAAAGGACGAGGTTGTCAGTTCGTCGGATATTTTTTTTTATGTATGTTACCCCATAACTTTGGACCACGTTAACCGATTTCGATAATTCTTTTTTTTATCGGAAAAGTGGTACCTCAATGGTGGTCCCATACTAATTTTGTTTAGATCCGATAATTAGATCATGAAGAAATTAACGACAATCTTTAATTTTTATATGAGAATTGAAGTCGGTTTGGTTTTTTGCTTAAAAATTACTTGTATTATCTTAATATGTGACACGTAAAGTTAAAAGGGAACTACGGTCAGAAAAAATCGGTTTTCACTTTTTCATCGACTCTTATAGTAAACGAGCCGCTCTTCCCAATGCAATAAACCGCAGCTTTCTAGCTGCATTAGTTTTTTTTCACAATTTCAAAGTTAGGTACTTTCACAAAAAAAGTACAAAAAAAAAATCAAATCTGACAAACTATTCGAAAATCAATCATATTCGCTTCAAACTCGTTACTCGGGGGTTTTCGGGGTCGCTGATTACGAATCCGATGTTAGTTTTTCAAAATTCGGTGTCAACGACATTTTTGAGTTTCACATGAATTTCAACAAATTTTAAATTTTTTCCACCATATTGGATCCGCCATTTTGAATTTTTAAAACGAACGTCGGGTTCGTAATCAGCGACACCAAAACCCCCGAGTAACGAGTTTGTTGTAGTCGCTACAACAACAACAACAAGTAACGAGTTTGAAGCGATTGCGATCAGTTTTTGAAAATGTCATCCGCCATATTGGATCAGCCATTTTGAATTTTGGAAAACTAACATCTGATTCGTAATCGTCGACCCTGAAAACCCCCGAGTAACGAGCTTCAATCCATTAAAACGTTCAGAAGCATCAAAATAAACTTGGTAAACTTGGAAGTCGTTTTTCTCGAAATTTTTTTTTCTGAGCGTAGGTCCCTTTAAACTTTACGTGTCATATTTTGTAAGTATTTTTTAAATGGGCGACGATGCCATGTTGCTCCCGAGCAGTAGTTCTTGAATTAAATATATACTTCGTGTAGGATGTTGTGATTTTTAAGGTTTCGTTTATAAATTTGATGGTGTTTTCATTACTGCGGCCTTAATTAATGCCGGTTAACGAAAGTTACCAATTTTCGTAGAATATTTTACACAATGATTTTTAAATACTTTTCAATTATCTAATTTCTAGACGCTCCATGGTGCGGCCACTGTAAAGCGCTGGCTCCCGAATACGCTAAAGCCGCTCAGCACTTAGAAGAACAGAAATCGGAAATCAAATTGGCCAAGGTCGACGCTACTGTGGAGAGCGAATTGGCTGAGGAATACCAAGTGCGTGGTTATCCCACACTGAAGTTCTTCCGTAACGGCGTCCCCGTCGATTACAGTGGTGGCCGTCAATCAGATGACATTATTTCATGGGTTACCAAGAAGACTGGTCCACCGGCCAAGGAACTGAATACCGTCGAAGAAGCTGAGGAATTGCTGAAAGACGATAAAGTAAGTAGATAAATTTTCAATCATCTTGTATTCCAATTTTATACTTATTTTATAACAATTATATTCAACAATTTTTATGAGCTTGAGGCCGTTTTTAGTGAAAACTTATTGTGGAAAAGCAACAATAATTTGAAAAAATGGTAGAAGTGATAGCTATCTCGGAAATCACCACATTTCCTCATCAGACTTCTTTCAGTAGGATTCGAACCGACGATCACCACTGACTCAGTCAGTTGCCTACGCACTATTTTATAACAATTTTTATTACGCTTGAGGCCGTTTTCCACAATAGTTTTTCATTAAAAACGGCCTCAAGCTCAATAAAAATTGCTGAATACTTATGTATTTTATAATTTAATGTTATTTTGGAAAACGTATATTTACATATGTGCTTTTTCTAAATGCTTTTTAGATCGTCGTTGTCGGCTTTTTCAAGAACCAAGATTCCGACGAAGCTAAGGCTTTCATTGCTGTCGCCAACGCTTTGGACAGTTTCGAGTTTGCTATCAGCAGCAACGATGAAGTTGTTGCCAAATATGAAGTTAAAGACGGCAGTGTTGTACTCTTCAAGCCATTCGATGATAAGAAATCGGTATTCGAAGGCGAAGCCAACGTTGACAATATCAAAAAATTCGTGCAAGTGCAATCTCTGCCATTGATTGTGGAATTCAACCATGATTCGGCTGCCAAGATCTTCGGTGGATCCATTAAATCGCATCTGTTGTTCTTCGTCTCAAAAGAAGCAGGACATATTGAGAAATATGTCGATCCTTTAAAAGAGATTGCCAAGGAATACCGCGAAGACATACTGTTCGTTACCATCTCTTCGGATGAGGAAGAGCACCAACGTATCTTCGAGTTCTTCGGCATGGCAAAGGATGAAGTACCAACTATCCGTTTGATTCGCTTAGAAGAAGATATGGCCAAATACAAGCCAGAATCGAATGACTTATCTGCTAGTACCATCAAGAGCTTTTTGCAAAAGTTCATGGATGGCAAATTGAAGCAACACCTGTTGTCACAAGAGTTGCCCGAGGATTGGGATAAGAACCCTGTTAAAGTGCTGGTTGCTACCAATTTTGATGACATTGCTTTTGACAAGAGCAAAAATGTTCTGGTTGAATTCTATGCGCCTTGGTGTGGACACTGCAAGCAATTGGTTCCCATCTACGATCAATTGGGTGAGAAGTTCAAGGACAATGAGAACATTGTGGTTGCTAAAATCGATGCCACAGCCAATGAGTTGGAGCACACTAAAATCTCGTCATTCCCCACCATTAAATTGTACCGCAAGGGCGATAACAAAGTCATTGACTACAATTTGGACAGAACTTTTGATGATTTCGTGAAGTTCCTGGAAGCAGGCGGTGATGTGTCACAGGTAAATATCATATATTAGACAGTACTAAACTGAATGAACGTTTGTATATTTATAGTAGATTATACATCCTACATATGTTTAATACGCATTACTTATTTTATATTTATTTTATTTTTTTCAGGGCGGCGAGTCAGAAGAGGAGGTTACAGAGAAACCCGAGGAACACCCGAAGGATGAATTGTAAACTTTTACAATAACTTAAACTTAAAATTATAGGATCAGCAGCAATCAGCAGCAGCATCAGGATAACATTTACATTACCACCATTAATACAGAACATGTTAATAGATATTTTACAAAATCAAAAAAATATGCAACGGAACATTCTTACTTTTGTGCAAAAGCATTTCCTTCCGGTCTGCTGCGCCATTGTAATTTTTTAATAGACTTAACAATTCCGTTTAAATATGCTCTCTTACCAATCAACAGCAAAAATTGTAACTATTTGTAACAGAAGAGGGGCAACGTCAGCAGATCTTTATTTTTTTAGTAATTACAATAAATATTTGTTTGTATTACGTTTTAAGTAACTTCAACAAAACAAATATTAAAAAAAAATCTGTATTTGCTATTATTTTTTATAATTATGGTAATATCTCTTGTGAATGAAGTTAGTACTTTTTTATAAAAGGAAAAACAGTTACACAATTGCACATGTTGTATGTATAAGGAATGAGTGCCCATGGTGTAAGTTGGGGCTATATAAGTTCGAAAGGCGTTGAAAGGTCAATTCACACCAAGATCAAATAAAGGATTTAAAATTTTAAAATTATTTCTTAAGAACCTATTAGCGCTTCCACGATTTACTACCATATGGGTGTGAAAGCAAAAATGTCACCTAATTTGCCAATAAAATAAATATATGTTTATGTAGAAATGAATTAGAAACGGTTGTGTGCTGCCTTGAGGTGAAATTAGTCAAGAACGTAGAACTTATACTTAAACGCTGTCTGAATACGCAGAATTTTGTCGATAACTGGAGCCCCCAGTGTTGCTTACTACAGTGTTGCCACTCATCAATTCCTTTTCATAAACTTGGCTTTTCAACTACAATTTTTCATACCATAATAGATGCTAGCTAAATATAAAATACTTATTTTTCAAAACCTTATTCGATAGTAAATTTCAAATATTTTAAACGTATTTTGAATAGGAACTTATAACTTTTTTACCATCTGCAAAACTGACGAAGTGGCAACCATCTATAGAAGGAAGAAATCAGCTGTCACGGAAAAATCTAAATTCCGCAGATTTCTGGGCTACAGAAAAATTCTTCGGTGTTGAGTTTTTATTTACATGGATTTCCGTACCGGTAGGTTTTCGTTCTTGACTAATTTCATCTTTTATAACACTCATTTTTGAGATTCTCGTAAAGGCTCCATCCCGAAATAAGTAATCGGAAAACAAATGTTCGTTTGCCACAAATTGAACTCGTTTAACTCCCCAAGTAAATAAATTTAAATTAATGCCAGTTTTAAATTATTTTGGATATATTTCCAAAAGTTTTTCTAACATACGAAAATAACAGTAACGACTATCGAACTCCATATCATACCAAAAATTCACGGCTATACACTTGTGACTCTGTTGCACGTGATGAAACCAAAAATTGGGCAGAAACAAAACGTCACCGGCGTATACACGCACATGCAAAGGATGGACTTGTGCGAACTTCGGATATTTGCCTAAATCCGGTGCTAATGGATCGATACTAATCCATTCGGTTTGCATCTGTTTAGATTCATTTTCTTCGGCAAGCTCATTCAACACTGGCTCAATATAGAACTGACCCAGTGTATTACGTCGATATTGTCCGACGGGATATTGTTGCCGAGGAATATTTACTACTTGGTGTGGTGGTAGCAATATAAAGTCCTTATGTCCAGCGATAACGCAATATATATTATCGAAGGGATCTTTGTGCATAGATGTGACAGCGCGCTCATCGCCCATCCAAAAATTTACCAGCGGCGGGGTATTCAAACATTTTTCGGCAAAATTTAAGTCGTTAACATTAATATCATCTGCCAACTCTGGAAAATCGGTGGTGAAATTTGAATTCTGCTTTTGAATATAGTGTATTGCTCCAGTAGGGTCATCAAGTCTTTCCAAGAATTCCCTCATACACATCTTCTCCTCCAGAGGAAGCACAAAATACTCGGTTTCATCTTGTTTTGCCAAGCCGTCCGCGTAACCGTTAGGCGTTGTTGTGACGTCTAACAATTTGTTGCCAAGCATTTGCTCTAGATACGATGGATTCCATTTTTGTACCGCTGGCCAATGCTTGACCGCATTACGTATCACCACTGGTTGACTTTTGGCATAAAAATTGCGCGCAAATTCTATTGGATTTGGTATTTGATCTAGTTCGACTACTTCTGTGCCAATATATAGCTCATTTGCTTCCTTCAATAACACGTCCAGCGCCGCAGTTATCCTCTCCATGCTTGTGAGTAGATGGTACACCTGCTAGTAGAGGAAGGGCATGTTCGAGGCACGTAATAAAAGCGGCATCACTGCCGCACTGATGAAAATTTCTGCCCAAACACATGTGAACAATAACACGTTGCTAGAAATTCACACCGTACGTGATACTTTAATAATTCGCGCAACACTGCAGTTGTGATTGCAACTCGAACAAGGACGAAACCGCTACTTTGGTTTTGCCGACTTTGACGTTTATGGCAATACGTAAACAAACTTTAAAGTTTATAAACAAGTGCAAACGTATTGTGTACTTTCAAATGAAAATCGAAGTAATTCGTGCGTTCTGAAGTATAAAACGTTTTATTTGTAATAACAACTTTATAAAAATGTCGTGTCGTGTGTTGAATTGCTGCAGCCGTAGGGGCAAAGGCACCAAATGCAGTTTTTTTTTGTTTCCCCGCGACGACGCCTTGGCCAGAAAGTGGGTAGAGTTCTGCCGGCAGGAGAAGCCATACAATTTAGACACCAGCGTAAGGAAAACGTTGAAATACCACAAATTACAAATTAAAATCGGAGGTAAGCAAGCATCGACCACTTTCTACAGGAAAACATGCGCTGCGACAAGATATCACTTTTTCGGCACCTGCAGTACAAACACGAACATTCTAAATAGTTAATTAATAAGACCTATTCTTTTGAACACATTTCAAGAGTGGTTGTATATTTTTTGTTAACGTTGTGCTTAATTTGCCATATTCAAAGATGGCTTGAGAAATTGGTGAATCGTGAAGAAAACACGTTTTCTCACGGCAAATTCACAACTGTCAACTCATTGTTCTTCGCCATATTCTTTGTTTACCCGTTGCCACAAATGTCATTCTGCGGGAATGCGCAATCTTGTATTCTATCGTTCTTGAAGGGGAACCGTAACAAGAAAATCTAATAATTGCAAACGATGATCTCTACAATCCTCGGCATCCGAATACCATGTGGGAAATATTTCGTCGGTCTTTACTTTAAACGCGGATGTGCGGAACATTTCGAAGACCTAATCCTTCGGATTTACAAGCCTTAAGTCATCCTCCCCTTTGTAATTCTTCGCTCGGATTAGGGCTTCGGAATGCATTTGCAAATCGCTCTGCGTTTTTGTCATGGTTTCGGTGCAACATTGACATCAGGTATTTCCCTCCCACAGCTTTCGACTCGAAGTGTTGGCTGGATACCAGGGAGTAGGTGGGTGGAAGGTTCTCCTCTGCTCCAATCCTAAGGTTGTCCCTCCATTTGGCTGCTTTGGCTTTGTCCAGCGGGAACCTGAAAAAACGTAGATTTGGATGTTGGTTTACGCAACCGAGTACGCGACATTTTCGCTTTTTTGCGTCCATTTTTCGCGTTTTGGACCGACTTTCTGGATTAACGATTCGATCGCGTTATAAAAAGACGCTGCCGCCAGAATAAATTCTGGAAACTAAAATTCCGTTGTCTTGTTCCTTTTGCAATTGACATTATAACGGAATTGAAATAGAAATCAAATTGGCGAAAAAAAATGTCAACAAAAGAGAAAACTTTGTTGTAATCCACCTACAGAATCTATTTTCCACACAAATATTAACATTTCCAATTGCTCCAATTGCAATTTCTGTTAATTTTGCACCGCTCTGAGCTCACGCTGTTAAAAAGTGGTGAGCTTCTAGAGCAATCTATGTTAAAAATTTAAGGTGGTGAACTTCTAGAGCTTTTCTGACAGAGAACGTTACCCAGCCGACCAAATATTCGCAAGCAATATCGTAAAGAAATGTTTTGCGGACCTTTTACGAACTAAACTGTTGAAAACGATAATCGCTAATCGACCTTTTTCGGAATATTTCCCCACGACGCATCGCTCTGTTTGTGGCAGACAGAGTATCGTTCTCGAGGGTTTGAAAACGTATCGTTAGCGGATCACTTTTGAATTGGTTTGCTAATTGTTTATGACATTTTTTTCGGATCTTTTACAATATTGCTAGCAATTGTTTTTTCTTTTCCTATTACCATCTTGGTCCCGCTTAATGAAAAACCAAAGAAATTATTTTTATATAAAAGTAATATATTTAACTATTATTAATTATTATTATTGAATACTGTTAACTAATAGTATTACCAGACACCCATTTTGCTAATCTTATTCTGAAAGACTCGCCTTCCACGTGACTGCCTGTTGTGGTTGGAATATCGATATTGCGGCTGCTGCATGGCTAGCCGCGCGTATAAAATTGCGGCACTTTCTTTTTGCCAATATACACGCTTGTAAACTACAATCGAATGCAAATTTTATGAAACAAACTATATTTTAGTTATTTAATCATCTTAAATGCCAAACACTTTATAGAAATAATAATATTTTCTTTATCTCACTTCCAATACTCGAACAAAGTTTGTCAAAACAAAAATGTGTTGCCACTCCAAAAAATTATCGAGCTAGCGAACAATGTGTGGAAGACTTTCTTTCGCAAATTATTCGCTAAAGCGAACCTTCGTTCCGGTGTCGGCTGGGTACTCGTTGGAATTTTGTAATAGATCAGAAATGCTCTAGAAGTTCACCACCTTAAATTTTTAACATTGAGTGCTCTAGAAGTTCACCACTTTTTAACGGCGTGAGCGCAGAGCGGCACCAAATTAACCGAATTTGAATAAATTTGCAATTGTGAAATGTTATTTATTTTTGTGCACGTTTATATCTATCAACAAAATGACTTTTGGTAGTTAATTTTAATGCCCTTTTAATTGAATTTAATCGAAAACCCGTTTTTATTTATTAGACAAAATTCTCTGGATAAATTTTAGGAAACCATTATTTTCATCAAAGTTGCCGAAAATTATTAATAAATATAAATTTACGAAGATATTCTAAACCATATTTTCGTCAACAATCAGTAAAGTCTTCATAAAAAAAAAAAATTATAAACACGCTAAAAGACAAACGCATACAAATGTTTGTAAATACATATGTATACATACCTATGTAGATGCTTTTATATGTATGCACATATGCAAATAAACAAATTCTGCACGCGGCTAAAATTTTTCCGCTATTTTTTTATAAAAATATCTTTCATACTTTAATCAAAACTTTGAAAAATTCAACAAATTTTTGTCTAAATTTTGAACTTTTTAATCTGAATTTTTAGAATGATAGATCGGTAGAAAAGCAAGGGCAAGTTTTAAGCGGCTAAAAAATGCGCTGATTTTTACCTTCCCTTTATTAGCTCGGGATGTAACTATGTAATATTGATGCGCCTAAAAGATGCAGCGATTTCTATTCTCAAGTTACATACGAGGTTTTAGTTTTTGTGTTGATTTGCCAGTTGCCGAATCTCCAAATTAAGGTCCCTCAGACGAGGGTCCCCGGGATCGACTTGGCGTAGGTGGTCACACTCATTTGCTAGTACAGCTGCTTTGGCCGGGAAATTTGGGCGGATTTCCACGATACGTCCGGACGGGATGAAGCGAGCCGCTGCGGCAGTGACTACCCTGCGGAAGTGGCGTTCGCCAGCATGTATGTTTGTGGGTGTGGAAAGGGCGGTGAAACTGCTCTCGGTAACTTCCGCGAAGCCGTCCCAATCAGCTTTGTTAAAGTTGGTCTAGGTTCGGTGGTCCGCGGGAGCAAAGTCGGTGGGCTTATTGATCGAGATGATTATGGGTAGATGGTCGGATGCTAGTGTTAGCATAGGTCGCCATGATATGATATTGATCAGAGCAGCGCTAGCAATTGTAAGGTTCGGCGAGCTACTGCAGCTACCAACAATCCTGGTGGGGGCATTGTCGTTCATGGTGAAGAATGTCGAATCGTCTATCTGCTCAGCCAAGAGATTTCCCCTATGATCATTGGCCAGCCTTGAGTGCCAGAAGTCACCTACTGCAATTCGGTTTTCACCTCTGATTAGCGCACCTATGACAGGGTGATATCCTGCCGGGAAGCAGGTGACGGGGGGTATATAGACGTGAAATATTTCGAGCTCGACATCGCCTGACCGGACAGCTATGCCCTGACATTCTAGGGTGGTGTCCCTCGGGTCGATGTCTTCTTCGATAAGCCGATACTGCACTGTGTGGTGTAGGATGAACGCTAATCCGCCACTGTCTCGCTCGCGATCTTTACGGAGCACATTGTAGGCGGCTGTGCAACTTCGTTTCTTGGACCGCAGCTATCAATATGCCATGCCGACCCATACAGACTACTATCTCCTCAATCTTGCTCTGGAGTCCGTTGCAGTTGAGTTGTAGAAGTTTCGTATACCTTGGAAGGCTGGTCGCGATACGGGGAGTGAGGGAGGAGTGAGGTCTATCTTGGGCCCGTTGCACCTGACGCGCTTGCTGTTGCTGCCTGTGATTATTGTGTTTACCACTAAATAAAATAATGGATTTATAAAAGATTTTGGGCCAAAAGATGAATTCCAATTGCTTTACATTATTGCGGTCAATTTTCGAATATTTACGAAGCTGTTGGTTAAAACTGGTGAGTGGAACGCTTATGACTTATCAGGTTATGTTTTAATTTCGCGCTTTATTTGTAGAAAATGTTGAAGGAACTTTCGGTTTTCAGTTCAAAAATGCGAACCACTTTGGCTTTAGAAAGCTAATGCTGCATATTCTTTCGCTTCTAATATAAGAAGAGGATGACATTTCTACCCAACTTTTGCGAGTTACGAATGATGGTTATCAGCCACCGGTCAAGAACAAAAAAAAAAAGAAAATCTTCGGCGGGATTCTGAAATCGATAAGGCCTCCAAGTTATTGTTAAAGGATCACATAAATATCGTAAAATTTTTATTGAAGGTTCTTTTTTTGGAATTCACATCGTCAAATTTAATCTTCACATTTTTTGATGAGCTTTGGGAATATGTTAGAAACGAACATCAGGGAGTCCACCGAAACCAGTAAAGTTTTGAAAGGGGTCTACGAGAAAAATGAGTTTGGGAGCCTCTGGTTTAACTGAAACCGTAATTGTTTTTTGTCCTAAATAGTAATAATTAGATCGCCAAAGAGGGGAGGGGTGAGCGAGCGGAGCGCTCCCCTCCCTGTCGATCTAATTATTGTGGAAATTAAGTCATGACATAACTTTCATGAAATTTTCGTGGAAATCTTCGGAAAGTTATGTCATGACATAAATTCCATGGAAGTTATGTCTTATCTTAGTGGAAATTAAGTCTGAAATAACTTCCACGGGCCCATAGAAGTTGTTTCCGTGGAAGTTAAGTCAGTTACCCGCTGAAGATAACTAGTTACTGGCTGCTGCAGAAGATGCTACCAATGCAAGATCGCCAAGTAAAAAATGCGTGTTGCTAACATGGAACGCATTAGGGTGCGTAAATTTTTTGGACTATACGCGTATAGCATAGCAGAATTCTACGTGTAATTCTAAACAAATTTGCCAAAGAAACCATAGGTCTAAAATCAATTTCAAGCTTGCCAAATTGCTAAAATGGATTTCGAAGAAAATACTTTAAGAAGAAAATAAGTGAAGAAACAATTCCCTTTACCAAAAAATCCCTTATAGTTTGTTTTATACAAAATTTAAGCACTTCTATACGACCCTACAGCCCATGGTTTCTTCGGCAAATTTGTTTAGAATTAAGGCATCCACATACCCGTGCGATTCTGTCGGAATGAATCCGCATCGTTTTTGATGCTACATACGTTACTGCTTCGAAAATGCATGTACGCACACATCTGTCCGATTTTATCGCAGTAAAAACTGTAAATTTATAGACAAAAAAAATATTTTTCAACAAAAAAAGATTCTTAACTTTTCTACATCAAACATGTTTTGTTTTCTTACGTTCAATTTTTGATTTAATATTGTAAAATCCTTCTATTGACTATTTTCGTTCTTAAAACGCGTCAGTCTGTGATTTCGGCACGACGAAAAGAAGAACTGTGGATGTTCGAATAAATCGCTGCATCAAAATCGTATAAGTGTGTAGTTCCTCATTTAAAACTGTTGACGGCATTGTTGTAATTTTTGTCGGAACAGATTCGCACCGACAGAATCGCATAGGTGTGTGGATACCTTTACACTTCTGCGCTATACGCACATAGCCGAAAAAAAAATCCCCCATAAAAATTGACCCGCCCTAATATGCATACATACATATGTATGTAAGTAGAAGACGAACTACTTAGTTGAGTTGTAAGGGAAGCAAGTAGGAATTTAGCTCAGAACTACTAGTTGCTTTCACTGCAGGGAAGGGGAAGATGAAACAAATATACATACATATGTACATGCATACTTAAATATATAGGCATATTAAATTAGCGAATTAGATTGAAATTGCCAAAAGTTTGGTGATAAGCCTTTAATGAAAAACACTTAAGAAAAAAAGCAGCAGCCTATTAAAAATTTATGCCAAAGAGCGATTGGAATATTATGTTTAATGTATAATGTAATCACATCAAAACTTGAATTGATAAAACCAAATAAGCGATAGCAGAGACCATAGTATGTACAGTCTTGTGTAAATTAAAATTATAATTTCAAACTCACGTACAGATCTTCTTCTCATAGCTTAGTTCTGTAAAATTTTAGAAATTGCTCAAATGCAGATAAAAACAAGTAAAGAGGTAAAGGTTCGGGCGAAACCGAATTTTTTATACCCGGCGCAGGTATAAAATATCATCGTTTCAACTTTCTCTCAAATACCTTTGCATGAAAAGCTGGGGTGTTTATTCCGATTTCAAATGTTTTCGATAATATGCTGACTTAATGAAATCATTGGACCAAGTTTGGTAGTAATCAATAAACCGGTTACCGAGATAGACCTTTGTAGTCATAAAGAGGGTGGTGCCACGCCTTCTTCCTAAAAGTCTATAACAGTCATATTTATTGTTAATAGACTGTTGTAAGTATAAACTTGGAGTAAAAAATTAGTGTTCTCAGTTTTTTAAATATCGGATTTTTTGTATTTTAGAAATTTACCGTTATACGAGAAGGGGGTGTAATTCTAGTCCGATTTGAATAATTTTCAAGAAATTGCTATACCGTACCAAGATTATAAGGTGCACCAATTTTGGTTGAATTTGATGAATAGGTTACCGAGATACACATTTGTGGTCATAAGTGGGCGGCGACACGCCCATTATCCAAAGAGACTGTGTGCGTTAAATGCACTGCTCAGCTGCCGCTCGTATACATACATACGTGTGAAACACACATGTGCTCAGAGAGCGCTCAGTGAGCTATGGTCTGCCGACCACTGCTTTCAAGCATACAATGTTTTTAACATCGCCTACGCTGAGCCTCGCGCTGCAATGTGGGGCTCCATAAATAGGCAATTTCATTAGTTATCTATCAACGGCAAGCCTAAGCCAGGAACAGACGCACTAAGTAAAATAACCGTTTTTACTAATTTTAAATTACAGTGTAGTTAGAAAATTTAGGCAAAATTTATTATTTACGACAGCTTTACTTGTAATATCTGCACTTCTTTCGTAGAATGTATGATTGCTTTTATTCGTTACACTATAAAAAACATAGCTCGAAAGAAAACAACACTTTCATTTTATTTTAATCATTAATGTTTAGTGTTTTTGCAAAACATTGTGTTAAACAAAAACGCTTAAAATTTACGAAAAAAACAGAATAAAAGTTCTTTTGAGTACATTAGGAACGAAATATAAAAAGGAAATTTGGAACGACCACGAGAAGTGGAAGACCAAACAAAATATATACATCAGAGGTAGAAAGAAGGATTGCTCCATATATCAAGGAAGATCCAAACCAATCCGCACTAGCTATTGGACAAAAGAGCTGAAGAATGTTGAGGTTGTTTCTGCCCTCCCGTAGACTGTGAGAAATTATCTCGGAGGTTTGCCATTGCCTGCCGAGGGGTGACCGTTAATTTCTTTGCTTTTGTTTTTGATGTGAATGGCACGATCCCAGGCCCTGCGCATGTTCCACACATCACTGTAGTGTAAGAATGCAAATATTGACTGATCATCAGGCGTCTGCGCTCAGATTATTGGCGGGTGATTACATGGACTTTTTTGTTGTTGTTGTTATTTGCGGACTATGCCAATCCGCTTGCGGGCGAGGAGCAGCTAGAGTCCGCTTTTTAAAGTAAATTGTAGAACAAATAAAATCATTGACACAGAATCGTACGTAGTATACACAAGTCAATGTACTTACATAGATAGATATGTACATATGTATTATATTCGTGTATTGAATTGAAAGCAGCAGATAGCAGAAAGGTAGTAGGTGGCGGGTGGTTGATTGCATATTCATTTGGTATGTACATAATTCCACATTCGATCGACAACGTCGAACGCGTTTGGGTGACAGTATCTCTCGAGCTAAAAGCGTTTAAGGTATAACAAAATGTGTAAAAGTGAATTTGAAAGCTATTCTATGGAGTTGTGAAAGTGAGAAAAATATCAGTTATTTGTTTGGCAAAAAAGTGCAAGTTGTTGTGGTGTTGAAAGCGGATTTGTGCAGAATCGTAGGTGTGTTTTCTTTTGCATATCCGGTTTGTTAGAATTTTTGCATTTGCTTTTAAACCTGTTTCTCCTAGACCATCTCAGCTACTGCAACTGCGGGTTTAAAATACAAAATTGCAAAAAGAAATTATAAAATACGATAAATCTAGATACAATGCTAAGAAAATTTTATCAGTGAATAAGTATGCAGAAAGTGATTAGATAAAGATAATTTTGCTCTCATACATATTTATTTACATATGCATGTATGTATTTAACTGCACTACTACAGTGATTTACTTAGTTTCTCTGTTAAACCATTTTAAAAGAAGATAAAGTTTGGACTTTTGTTAGTCGAAGTTCTTCTCAAGTGAGTATGCGGAAGTCAGTTGGAGCTTGGAAGCGATTATCTGTTTCACTTCTGGCTAAGTCTGCTAAGTTGCTGTCATACCTCATACTTTTTAGAACTCCTAGGGCCTTTTTTAGGTACCGAAAATCCCGGGATTCTTGGCAAACAATCTCCGAATTTTCGGGATTTGTAATTTGCACTGATGGCAATAATAGAAACTGGTTTTTTGACTAGTATGGCTATATTTTTTTAATTTAATAACTAATATTTTTTTTTATAAATGTCTAGCTCATTATACAGCGTGGCATAACTGTTACCCGGGTTTTTTTTCGAGAAGTAAAAGAGTCCTTTATAGATTTTGCGAAAAAAGTAATTTAGTGTTAGTTTTCCACAGATTTTACTTTAGTTGTATTAATTAGTTATTAAATTTTAATCCTTTTATATATTTTCCAGCAGTTTAAACTTTGAGAGAAAAGTTCATTTGGCACGCAAGTCTTTTTCAGATGTTATTTTTCTTAGGCTTTGTATAAAAAAAATACAAAAAAGAAAAAACTATATAAGGTTGGTGGAATGAATGGCCGTCCTAGTATCCAGTTCCGAGTCTATTCGATTTATGAGTATGAGGCCTTATGTTCGACAAAAGGGACTCAAAATGGAGAAAATTTGCCTATGGTTACAGAACTTTTCTTTTTTCAGTGTGAGACTTTAACTCAAACTAAACTTCCTACCGTCATGTATCGTTCCACTCCCGGTGTTTGTTTGATGACAGGAGATACTTCATGTTGTCCTCGTTTACCACCCAGACCTATTCGCTTTGCTTCCTTGACCAAATTGGAAAAGGCAGAACAGACTTCGCGGTTTTTCTTACCGATTATGTCCGTGTCATCGGCATAAGCCAACAATTGTACCGTCTTGTAGTAAATTGTTCCTGAGCGGTTCACTTCTACAGCTCGTATTATCTTCTCCAACATCAGACTAAAAAGGTCACATGAAAGAAAGTCACCCTTTCTGAAACCCCGTTTGGAGGCGTTTCTGGCAGAGCTCAACGTTATTTAACACAGCCGTATGAGTTTTGAGGGGAGCCCAAATTCAGACATAGCGGCGTATAGGCAACTCCTTTTAATGCAGTCGAAAGCGGCTTTAAAGTCGACAAATAATTAGGTGTCCATCTTTTTCTCGCGGGTCTTTTACAGAATTTGACGTATTGTGAATACCTGGTCTATGAGGGATTTGCGAGGTCTAGAGCCGCACCGATAAGGTCCAATCAGTTCATTGACGGTGGTATTCAGTCTTTCACACAATACATTCGATAAGACCTTGCAACCTATGCTTAGAAGGCTGATCCCGCGGTAGTTGGCACGCATGGTGGGGTCGCCTTTCTTGTGGATTGGGCAGAGCGAACTTGAATTCCAGTGGTCGGGCATGCATCTTATTAGCTCCTTTCCATCGTAATTGAATAGCTCAGCTGACAGGCCGTCAGCTCAAGCAGTTTTGTCCACTAGAGTGAACGCCGGTCTCTCTCCCATCACAAATCCAACACCGAATTGCGCTCCTTTACCGCTTACCTTCCTCGCCCCGTCCTTCGCATTTCATGGATGCCGGTGACGTCAGCGTTTTCCCTAGGACACCAACCAGCCGGGCAAAGGTACCTCCCCGATTAAGGGCTCGGATATTCCAGGTGCATACCCTCAAATCATAGTCCTTCCTATGTTTGCCGTGATCATCATCAAAAGAAGAGGGTATCATATGAGGCATATGAGAAAATTCTGTGTAATCTTTCTGTAGTAAAGTTTAACTAATGATTTAACAGCCTCTTATATGCTATTTTTATTATAGAAATTTATTTGCGCTATATGTTTTCTGCCATCTGCTGTAATTACTTAAGACGTAAATGTCTTGGCTGTTCACCAAACCGATCTATAGTTTTATGAATAATCTCAGATTGGTTCTGTGATACTACACTTTCGATGTACGCTTAGAAGACACAAACCTAACGGCAAACTAATAAACAATTGAACTATAAATTTATTTATTAGTTTACCGTTCAATCCATTTTCGCTCATTGTCGACTGCAGCCGCAGGTTTTGATGTAATATAAAAGCAATTTTTGCATTTTAATGTTTATAACAACACATATACATAAAAATTAAAAAATTGCTTATACATTTATTGCATCAAAACTTGCTTTATAAACTTTTGGCTTCAATCGCGCGAAAGTTTCAATGATTTTTTGATAGATGAGCAGCTGACATCTGTCATTTTTGGGTATGTTCAGTGCGAAATGCCCATTCGAAATGAGAATGCCACAAAACTACAATCTCCGGGAAGTTGTATTCTTTCTACAAAAATACAAGGTTGCTCACGTAGTATTTTGAATTTATATTTGGTGACAGACATATGGTATTTTGGAAATGCTACGAAGAAATACCAAATGTATGTCCCCGGTGTTACACACTGAAAAAGTTAATAACAACTCTCAAAAAATCTAAATCGCTGTAGCGAAAAAATGGCTTGAGAAACCGCATAAATTCAAATCCGCATAAAAAAGACACAAGTGTAATACACTTTTCATAAACTTTTAGTAGTTTTTATAATGAATTGATGTTAAAAAAATTTACAAATTATACAATTTTTAATTGACAACACTTCGAGCGCCTACCCTTTAATATTCCTAACCTCAACTAATGGGGCATGTATTTTGTATAATACCATGAATGTTATTTTTTACATTTTTTGATATCGTTCTTATTTCAATCTCACCTCGAAAACTTACTTCTACGTATGCATTATTATTAAAAAGTTAATTGTTATTATTACTTTAATTGTCACAATTTGCATTGTATTCCCATAAAACTTGTATTTATTTTTCTATCCGTGTTTTTTTTTTATTATTATTAGGCCTCTTACAAATATAACTGACCGCGGTGAAATTTTCAACAAATCAACAAATCGACATCTGTAGAGTCTTAACTAACGATTAGTGCAAACTAAAGTTAATCAACAACAACAAACAACCCAACTCAAACACAAAAACCATAACAACAACAACAAACATGTCCAACAGGGCAACGATAACAAAAACTACAGCCGATGAGATTGATAAGATACGTCTTAATCTGGCCGATGATTGGAAAGCGCTGCGCGTTGTCTATGATTTGTTGCATAACGAGAAAGCGTTTTGTGTGTCCGAAGCGGATCGCGACGCCGTAAAAATTGTACACTTTATGCAGCCAGACGAATTGAGGGTAAGTTCACATTTAGCACATATAGGTATATGAACATACATACATACTAGGAATGTTAATCCCGGGATCCGGGCCTTTTTAAGGTACCGAAAATCCTGGGATTCTTGTCAAATAGTCCCGGGATTTTCGGGATTTGCAAATTGCACTGATGGCAATAATAGAAAGTCCTTTTCTTGACTATTGGCTATATTTAATTTTTGTATTTTATAATTAATATTTTTTTTTGATATGTCTAGTTCATTACACGTATAAGACCGCGCGATAGTAAATATTAAACACAAATATCAATATACATATTTGCGAAACCATGGGTCAAATATAGCAAAATTGCGTTAATAGTTTTTCACTCTGACGTCAATAATTCAAAAATGATTTAAAAAATTTAGAAAAATGTGCTTAGAGAAGAAGTATGTATGGGTATCAAATTAAAGAGGAAATCTTTTATTTAAACAAGTTCAAGTTTTCGGTGCAGAAGGACTGTAAGTATTGAAAATGTCGTTTTAAAATTTTATGCTTGAAATTTCGCAATATTTGTTTTTGAAAAAATTACTATATGTTAAGGACTCATATGAACTCAGCTTACAAAAAATACCTATTTTTCCTTGTGAATCCAAAAGAATTTTAATTTTTTTAAATTCTAAAGAAATTTCCACTTGCATTTGGTACCCATATTTTTATTCTAAAGTGCATTGAATTTTTTAAATAAATTTTTGGAATTAATCATATCTTTGAAATTACAAAGTCCTTTAAAATAAATACTGACATCAAAGAGAAAAAATAAAAACGCCGCTTTAAATAAAAATTTAGGTTTCGAGCCCATTTATTTATTTATTGTTTATTTTATAGCAGGAGAGTTTCTCAAACAATATATAAGCAATTTTTTCAATTGAAGTTGTTGAAAATCCCTGGATTATGATAACAACATACCGAAAATTTCGGGATCGGAAAAAGCTGAAAAATTAACATCCCTAATACATACATGTATGTAGTATAAAACAGTGGGAGGTAAAAATACAGCAGTGGTAAGATCAATCAGCAGGATATAAGGAGTACCGTACTACATACTTTTAAATTAATGAAGCTATGTATGTGCGCTTGAGAAAGCGGCTTAAACGCCACAAAGCTGTCAACACACTTGGCACCACACAACGGTGTAGTTGCTGATTGCAGTAGCTCACAGCGGCGGATGGCGGCGCGACGTACATACATACATATGTATCACTGTCATGGCCAAATCGGTCTGCAAGCCTACGTCAGCGGGTGTGTTTTGGGCCGCGAAATCGGTTGATAATGCTCAGTCGATCGCGTCGCTTTCGATGACAAGGCGGTATTAATGCGCGTTGGATTTGCAATTAAAAAGTGTGTCAAGTTTATTTTTCTCTTAGCGGATTTAAGCGCTTTTATTTTGACCGGCATTTTTATGGCAATTCGAATGGTCGTGATTGAACCACTAAGGCAACGCACACGTGAGTACTTATGTACATATACATGTACCTACATACATACATACATAACGTATGTATGTGGAAGAAAAGCTGTTTAGTTTGCCGGGCTGTCGCTGCTTGGCTTTTCACTTTGAAAATGGTTTGTCAGCATGTCAGCAACTGTTGCTGTTGCTGTTGCTAAAACCTATGTAGTTGCTATGTTGCGCGCCATGTTGCTATGTGTTACGGCTTTGTGTCGTTTTGTTGTTGCGATGTTGATCCGCTGTTGACCGCCGTTGCTACATGATCATGTTCGTAGATTGTCATGTTTTGATTTTTGATTAGGATTGTGTGTACTCACGGGCATCTCTGTATAGTTAAGTATTTATTGTATGTACGTGCATGCATGTACATACATACATATGTATGTATGTATAGTACGACAGTCAGTCAAGCTTAAGTATTTCTTTATTTAATTTCCTTCATTTCACTCCAGTTTTTTCAGCAATGTTTGTACATAGGTAGATCACTTGTTGGTCTTGGCTGCGATCGGTGATCATATCGCTGTAAAACCAGAAATTTATTTAATGATGCTTGTTTTTTTATGTTTCAGTTGTTAAAAATTGTTGTAAAGTTAGTTTGTTGGTATGGC